GATCTCAGTTGCGACGACGAGGTATAAGTATAGAGTCTCCCCGTCTTCAAGTTGTGATAGGACTAGGGGTTGTGAGGGGACTTGTTTGAGATGAAGAATTGCTTGCTTGCACTTTTCGGTCGACTCGAACATGGCTTCCATGCACAGAAGCTTGAAAAATGGGAGTGCGTGTTGGGCAGAATTGGCCATGAAGCGTGATAATGAGGTGAGAATCCCATTTAGAGATTGGATTTATTTCTTCGAGTTCGGCGTTTGGAACTCAGAGAAAGTCCTGCACTTGCCAGGGTTCGTCTCGATTCCTTGCTCTGTCAAGTAGAAGCCGGGGAATTTGCCTGCTCGGACACCGAAGGTGCACATCTTTGGGTTGAATATCATTCTTCATCTTCTTGTCCTATCGATGACTTTTCTGCGATGAGCCGTGTGGTCGGTTTCTCTTCGTGATTTTGCAATTATGTCGTCCATGTAGACCTCGAGCATGTCTCTGATTTTTCCCCGGAAGACCTTGTTCATCATTCGTTGTAAGTTGCGCCAGTGTTTTTCAGGGCGAAGGGCATTACATTATAGTAATAATTTCCCGACTCAGTCATGAAAGCCGCGTATTGCTTGTCGGCCTTCACCATGGGAATTTGGTTGTATCCCGAGTATGCGTTCATGAACGACAGTAATTTAAAACCTGCAGAATTATCGACCAGTTTGTCGATGTTAGACAATTGATATGCATCATTGGGGCAAGCCCGGTTAAGATCGGTATAGTCAACACACATTCTACATTTCCATTAGTATTTTTAACTAATACAACTTTAGACAACCAGGTTGTGTACTGGGCTTCAGAAATAAAATTTGCCTCTAGGAAGTCTTTTACAGCTTTTTCAGCATCCTCTGCTTTATTTGGAGACTGCCTACGCCTACGTTGTACTATGATCCTAGAGGCCGGATCTATGATGAGTTGGTGGCAAGCCACGTCGGGATTGAGCCCGGGCATCTCTGCAGCGCTCCATGCGAACATGTCAACATTCTCCCCGAGGCAGGCTTTCAGTTGCTTCCTCGTAAAGTCGGAGAGCCCCATGCTGATCTTCACGCTTCTGTAGGGGTCGTCATCGAGAGTGATGAGCTCAAAGTCGCCATCTAGAATAGGGCACATGGGATGGAGCGGTTGCCCATTTCCATCATTCGTTGGAGGTGCATCTTCTGCTGCTTCGTTATGCTCTTGCTTGATGGGGAATCGGTTGTCGAGGTCGACCAAGTTGACGTGTGGTAGTGGCTTCTGCTCCTTGGTGCAATGTGGCTTGTTGGCATTCTTGGGCGTGATGTTGATTAAGTTAAGCCCCTTGGTGGCTGCCTCGAAACATCTTCTAGCAACTTCAATGTCCTCATGCAAAGTGACGATGCGACCCTTGGTCGTGTAGTACTTCATCTTCAGGTGGACGATTGATGGTACTGTAGTCAGCTCAGCCAGGGTTGACCTTTCCAGAATGCATTGGTATAGGGAGGGGCACTCTATCACCAAGAAGTAGACATTGACTTGTCTGGCAGTCTCCTCGGATCCGAAGGTGACGAGCAGCTCAACATAGTACCATGGCCTTTTGGGGGTGCCATTGAAGCCCTGCTAGTCAGAACCGACATACAGGGTCAGATGGCTCTCGTCGAGCTGAAAGTGGTGAACAAGTGAGTATACATTATGTCAACCGAGCTCCCATGGTCGATGAGGATACGGTGGATGTCGAAGTTCTCCATCTGGGCTCTGATCAGCAAAGGGATGATGGAATGAGGGCGCCACTCGTTAGCTCCTCGAGGTAGAAAGTGATTGGGTCTAAGTTTGAACTTGTCAAGGGTGGCATTCTGCTTCGAGCTTTTGTCGATTAACTCGTCAAACTTCCTCTTGAATGATCCCACAGTGAGTTTGTTGAACCCTATGCCAGATATGATCATCGCGGTGGGAAAGCTCTCACATGGGCTACGAGAAGATAAAGGGATGTCAGCCTCGAGGGGAAGGTAGAAGTCCTTCGGCGGGGAGATGCACAAAGCGGCTTGCAGCCCAGTGTCATCGGAGGTGGCATCACCTCCTCGACCTTCTTTGCCTTGTGAGTTTCCTGTCGATGAGCCTCGTTCCTCCGAGTATATTGCTCTAGGTGCCCTTCCTTGATCAAGATTTCAATGGCATCCTTGAGATTGATGCATTCTTCTGTGACGTGTTCATGGCTCCTGTGGAACCAGCAGTATTTGGACTTGTTGACATTGGGTTTGGGGGGCGTCGACTTTAGAAAGCGGACCTCACCTCTTTGAAACTCCAAGTTGATGCACTCGGCCAAGATGCGCTTGCGGGGAGCGGTGAGTATCGTATACTCAGTGAAACAACCTGTTGGTCCCCGATGTTCTCGGGAGTCGCGGGGCCGGTCTTCTATTCTTTTGTCTCTGCCACGTCATGTAGCAACGAATTGTTGGTGCTTGAAGACTTTGGTACTTTCCTGGTTCTGCGAGTCGCAGACACTATTGGCGGCCTCCTTCTTCTCATATTAGATGTTAGACCGAGCATTACGAAGGAGTTCGTCCAGTGTGTTGGGCCTTGGAGAAATCGCTGCGGGGTTGCATCCCTCGTTCGATCAGGTATCTCTTCATGTTGTCTGTTATGGACACCTGAACGACTTCTCGATTGAATCTCTCTATGTAGTCCCAGAGAGCGAATTATTTAAACTCCCATAGGAAAAAAATAAAAAATTTGAGACTAGAAAGTTGTGTTCCATTAAATACAGACTCAAAATTGGCACAATGGTTGAGATATAAAAATTCAAGTGAATTCAATTTTGAAATTTCTTTATCCGAAAATTGAGTTTGTTGTGACGCAATAATAAGTTTTATTGACCAAGTTTCTTATATTTAGTAGGTTTAAAAAATGTATTTTCGAAGAGTCTCCAGAAATGTATTTCCAAAATAAATTTATTCATAAAATTAGGGTGCGACTCAAAAATAAATGAATTGTGTATGTATGAGATGCGTTTGGAGATGCATTTTTGAAATCAGATGGTCATTTTCAGATTTTTATATGGTGTTTTTCCATCCCATACGATGGGATACGAATTTCCCTTTATTTGATTGGACACAAATTGACAAGAATCTATTTTTGTGATTGTGTGAATCATAGAAGGTTCACAAAGCAAAAATGTATATCTGAAACAATAAATGTGTAAAATGAGTCTTTTAAAAAAAGGATGCATGAGATGAAATATGTATTAAAATATTTCAAAAATACATATCCAAATCAATTAAAGTTTTGATATACACTGAGAGTGTAAAGATTTTTTACACTATCAGTTAATTAGAACCATTCATTTATTAAAAATGTTTGACTTCTATATTAACCACCTGAAAAGTAATACCAACGGATGATAGTGATGTATTGATAGTGTAAATTTTTTTACACTAACAGTGCATAACAATTCATCTTTTTACAAAAGAATTTAATTGTTATACACTAACAATATAAATATTTTTTACCATGTCAGTTAATCAAAACCGTTGATTTATTTAAAATGTTTGACTTCTATTTTAACCACCTGAAAAGTAATATCAACCGAAGATAGTGATAAATTGATAGTGTAAAACTTTTCACAGCATAACAATTAATCTCTTTACAAAAAAATTTAATTGATATACTATACCAGTATAAAAATTTTTATTATCAGTTAATCAAAACCGTTAATTTATTTAAAATGTTTAACTTCTATTTTAACCACCTAAAAGTAATACTAACGGATTATACTAAGTAATACTAACGGATTATATTGATATATTGACATTATAAATTTTTTTACATGTGTATTTTACAAAAATATGTAGGGCATTTTAGATTTTCCTGGAAGAGAAAATGAAAGACTTGAAGAGAAAATGAAAGCGATAGAGAATAAGATGGCCAGAAAGAGAAAATTCCAACGCAAAACTCAAATCTGCAAGAGGCGGTCATTGCAATAACTCCAAATAATTTTCCGTTGAGATGTGTGTGAGTAAAACACAAACACTTGATATGCAACATTAGAACATTGAGAAACTTCCGTAAAACACGCAGTAGCTTCGTACTCCTCTGCTTCCCGCCGCTTCCTCTCTTCCTCTCTCTCCCATGCTTGGCCTTCACTTTTTTTGCCACCAGGTTTATTTTTCTCTCTCTTTCGCTCTCTCGCTCTCGTCTTTTTTATTGCTAGTTTTGCAGCATCTTCTTTACCTTCTCCCTTTATGCTTTCTCGTAGACTTTGGCGGTTTCGATTTTTGAATTTCTATTCTAGTTTTCTTACAATGAATTTTTCGCTAGTTTCTGGGGAAATTTATATGTAAATATTGTTGTGTTTTATGTTATTTTTGTTAACATGTTGAAGGAAAGATCAAAGTTCAAAGATGGCACGAAAATTGTATTTTTCCAACTTCAAGGAAGTTTGCATTAGAGTAGATTATTTGGGATTTTTTTTAGTTGTTGTTGTTGTTGTTGCATTTCGTTGTTTTCAAGTATTTGCAATTTGAATGTGTTGGTTGTTTTGGGTTGAACAAAACAACTAAAATACCAAATCAAAATTGGTTTTTTTAGGTTTAATCATGTATTAATTATAGATGCAGCATTAGGAATTTGGATAGAACATAAATTGATTTATTTGATTTTGTCCACCCACATAAAGACTTGCATTTGTGAGACCCTTTGGAAGAGCTTATGCAAACAACTAATGACATGTCTATAAGCAGTTATCAGCTTATTTCTATAGGCTCTCCAAGATAGTTTATGAAAACAACTTTTGGCGTATAAGAAACTAGTTCGACTTTATTATGAAAATTGTTTATACATAAATATGTATGTGATAAAGGCTATATTATAAGTGCTTAATTAAATTGTTTATACATAACTATGTATGTGATAAAGCCTATACTATAAGTGCTTAATTAAATTGTTTGTATGTATAGTGCTGAAAATTGTGCTTGAGTGGGAAGCTTTGTTGAATTTTCCGTGTCTTTTTTATTCAGACATGCCGACTTTTTCTGCAATAGCATTGGATAGGTTGTTAGATACTGAAGCTTCCAAGCCAATTGATAAGCCTGTTCCAACTTCAATGCCTGTACCAATATCTCGGACACTTGAGAGGACTGCTACTGCGCCAGCTATGAAAAAGAAGGTTCCTCGTCCTCCGTTGAAGCCAGCACTTTATACCACACCTGAAGTGAAACTACTTCCGGAAGCAGACTCGCCTTCTTCATTCCCACCTTCACCATACGTTATTAATCATAAACGTCGTGGCCCGCGTCTCCTCAAGAGTTCGTCTGAGGCCAGTGTGCTTTCCAAGCAGAATAGTGAAGCAATTGATGATAAGAGCTTTGATACTGTGATTGGAAGTTCGGCTGGTGATCTCCAATTCGCCTTTTCAAACCATGAACCTGTTGAAGAGGAGCATGCAAATGGTGTCTGTGGTGGTAAATCTGTTAGAGTCAATGGAGCTGGGCCAGTGAATGGACACCGTGAACCTGAGAATAGTAGTCTTACAAATGTTTTACTCAGGGATAATGGGCCTGCATTGAATTTGGAAAGAGATACAGATATTGAAGACTTCTTTGACCCGAAAGATTCCATGAGTTTTACAAGCAACACGGACGTGGAAGAGAATGCAGGGACAGACCTACCTGTGAAATTCAGCAGTCCTGTTGGCGAGTTTTATGATGCGTGGGAAGGTACGCTGGGTTAGCCGTAGTGCCAATTTTTTTCTGTTGCAAATGCACATGGCATTCGCCGGGTTTTTTTGGGTACTTTTTTCTCAATGTCATAATGCAGCTGTGTTTAAAGGGATATCTCAGTTTTTCGTGGATATATCAATCTTATGGCATATACTAATTAATTATGGGAGCAAGATAGGGTCATTAATTCTGTAATTGAGTTTCTAAGAAATATTTAATGTCATTTATTAGCTTACTTGTTCCTTCTCTTTCTGTAGAACTATCATCGGCGTCTGCTACTCAAAATTCTGCATATGATGTTGAAGCTGAATTGCGTGAAATGAGATTGAGTCTATTGATGGAAATAGAGAAGCGGAAGCAAGCCGAAGAATCCCTAAATAACATGAGAAGTCAATGGGAGAGTATTAGGCAGGGGTTGTGTCTAGCGGGAATTGTTTTGCCTGCAGATCTTAGTACTGTAGCTGAGGCTGAGCAGCTGAATTCTGATCCTGTGGAAGACCTATGTCAACAACTTTATGTTGCTAGATTTATTTCAAATACTATTGGAAGAGCAACTGTCAGGGCTGAGGTAGAGATGGAGATGGAAGCTCAACTAGAGTCTAAGAACTTCGAGATTGCTCGAATCTTAGAACGTCTCCATTGTTATGAGACCATGAATCGGGAGATGTCTCAGCGAAACCAGGAAGCAGTAGGTAAAACTTATTTCACATCTTTAGCCTTCAATTGTTTTGATAATGTGAGCACACATCATTTTTCTACTTCTAATTAGATATTTGATGTACTATACAACTAGTGGAAATTTGATTTGTCATTTCCCCCCACATTGCACTTATCTTATTGACCGATATTCATATTTTTGAATCTGGATGGAAAAAAGTGTATGTGTTGACTCAATATGTTGTATCTGGTCAATAAATGTGGTTTTGTGATAGTTATTTTCTGAAGAGTTCAGACTCGCATATCCATGGTGAGGACTGGGGATAGTGTATTTTTTAAAAATTGTTAGAGCATTATTTGATATTGGTTTTTGTTGTATTATAAGAGGACAGACCCAGATGTTATAGTTGGGAAAGCCTTAATTGATTGAAAATTTAAAACTACTTTTATATTTATTCTAGCGGGTCCAACTCCAATATCCAAGGATAGTAAAATTTTCCCAATGGCTCTGCTACGAGCCAGAGTCTATGCTTTTTAACTGACTAGATGTAGATGATCTTCCGTTTGCACAAAAAATATAACATCCTATTATTAACATCGCATTATTATGTCCTCAGCTTAAATTATGTCTTGTTTTATTCAGCTTGCTTAATTCTCAATTTGATTGATGCGTTTTCTCTCTTGTGTAGAGATGGCACGGCGTGAGAGGCAAAGAAAGAGTAGGAGGCAGAAGTGGGTTTGGGGTTCCATTACGACTGTGATTGCGCTTGGTACTGCAGCAATAGCATTGTCTTATCTTCCAGTTGATGGAGGATCATCCTCAGTAGACGATCATCAGGTTCCCGAACATGATGATACAGCTAAGTAGTTCACCCCATTGTTGCTAACTGCATATCCTTGTTTTACTCATATAGTTTAGGAGAGAAAAATAAAAGTAATACATGCCACAGTGTGGTTCAATAATCTCTTTGATCAGTTACAAGTTTCTGGCATCCTGGGTACATGCCACGCATGCTAGAGCTATATCTTATAGCATTCTATGCATTTGAGGCTCGAGCCAGCTGTGTCACATGTGATGTTTTGGCATCTGATAGCATCTGGCACAGTATTTATAGCAGATTGTTTAAGCTGTTGAGCATTTTTACACTTAGAGAATTTGACTGTCCTCTGATGTTTGATTGATCTACTTAATGAAGTGAATATGTTTAGAGGTGATGAATGTCCAATTTTTCTTTTTGGTTTCTTGTGCCGTGTCTCTGCCTGTTGGTGAGTTAGCGGATTAGCAGACAAAATACAAATTATTACTGATACCACTCGTATAACTTGATGCACTTAAGTATTGTCAATTGTAATAATCCTACCAACTGTTGAATCTTGCTGTTTTTGTCAACAGTAGTTTTTTGTATTCTCTACAACTATGAACTGATAGAAGAATGCTTAGAAACTTATCTTTTATGTTGTATATATCATGAGAAATTTGCTTTTCAATCATTTGTCATTCATTAAATACCTAGAAAAGGTGTTTGTTTGGACTGACTACAAACATTATGATATTTATGACGTGGGTAAGGTAATGACTAGTGTGAGTGTAGAAATAGGGCCGGATCCATATAATGCAAGTTAAGGAAAAGGCTGAGTCTCCTCAAAAGTTGGAAGTTATATTATATCACATATCACACGGTTTAAGAAATAGGAAGAATGCAAACCATTATATTTAAGCAGTGGTTGAAATAGAGGACAGTATTCAGAGTTTTGTGATAAAATAGGTGATGCTGTATTGTTGGGTTGTTGAGCAATAAGAAGTTAATACAAGAATAAAATCAGCATAGTAGAGATGATAACACTGGTAAATGAAAATACTGAAGTAATATATTTGGGAACAATGACATTAAGCTCTATAAAAAAAATTAAGAGGAAGTAGTTTTTTGAAGACAGTAGAGAGTTTTCTAGGTTTGAATTGACAACCTCTTCTTTGCCTTAATCTGCTGCAGTATATCAGTAATTTAGACCAAGAGAAACACTTTACATAAAATAAGATAAAATCATCAATATTTGTGAGTATTTATAGGTATATTTGTCAATGAAAGAATTCTAGATTTGAACTAAATTCGTGACTTTTCTTTTGTACACAACTCAACTCATAGTGGTGCAAATAAAAAGCTCAACCATTTATGTCAGCTCGTTCCGTCAAATGTCAATCTCCGAGGCGCAATAGGACTAACATGACCAGTGGCGGCCCGAGTATCTTATGCAAATTTGGCGGAAATGAGTCTCATATTTTGAGAGAATGAACAAAGTTTACCCCTCTTTAATCAAATGAAAAATATTGTTTTTGTTCTTAATTAAAGAAATTTGAAGTAGTATACTTTATAGTGCTTTATTATTAACTGTATTTTTATACTCTTTACTTTTATTTTAACAAAAAAAAAACCACCTTTTTTATTGAGAAATTTGATCGATGTATTTTTTGTTATATATAGATTTGTACATGAGGACATATCAAGTTTGAGGGACTTTAGGTCATGGTGAGTTTGGTAACTTTTTCTCTATCTTATTCTAAATCAATCATTCTCTCTCGGTAAATAACTTATTCATTTATCCATTCATCTACTAAAAATAGTCACAAAATCATAAAAATAGTAAAGTCACTCAATCTCCCCGGATTAGTAGGCACCACTTAGAGTATCTTTAGTGAGAGTAAATTAAATGGATAAACTGCCCAAGGTGATTTGTAGGATTTAAAATATTTATAGTTGATTTGAGTTGTTTTTACTTTAATGATGGTTGCTTGTAAAAAACCAAAACTTGACCCCACATTTTATAGTTGTTGGAGTTTTATTGATATTTTAATAATATAAAACAATAATAAAATAATAATAATAATCATTGAGAATGGATAATGTGCGTTGATTATATAGTTTACTCCCATTAATTGTTAATTTACTTACTGTCATGTCATTCTTATTCCAATGCAAATTGCTTATAACTACCGTTACTATTAAAAAATTTAATACTATAGAACCTGCACTAAAGATGTTCTTATATAGCTGTACTCTTTAGAAGCTCAAACCACTAAAACAAGGTTATTTTTGTCGGTGTGTTGATTACTTTTTAATTTTTTTTTTTTAAAATGATGTAAAATTATTAGTTAGATTTATTTATAATTTTTGGTAAAGAGATGGGTTAGAGGTATTAAATCCTTATTAAATACTACTATTTTTACATTTGTCCCTAAATATATTCAACAGGGATTTTGGAGAGTATCCGGGAGCGATGGCACATAACATCAACTTTTTAGAGGCACTAAATCTTTGGAATGTTATTAAACATAGGTTTGAATTGATAGATATATTATAATCACTTTTTTTTTAATAATTTTATTGTAGTTTTGATTTGGTGTAAATTTTTTTTAATCTTAATGTAACTTTTTATATTTTATTTTATAATTATATATTTATAATTATATGACTTATAAATATAATAAAAAATTATGAATTAAAAAAGGACACCAAATTTAAAATTTCGAGAAAGACTCTGGATCTTAGAAAAAATTATTCTAATTTAAAATGTTAGTTAGAATAATAAATTAGTTAGAATAATTTAAAATAATTAGTTAAAATTATTCTAATTTAAAATGTTAGTTAGAATAATAAATTAGTTGTTATTTACATAACTTAATAAATTTATTTTTTAAGAAAAATAAATTTTTATATAAGAGTATTTTGTGCATAGTAAAATATGCAATTTTACGAGTGGTATATAGATAAAAAAATTATTAATACAATTTAAAATTTAAAAAGGGTCTTATAAAAACAGAAAATGAAAGAATTATAGAATCTTATATTTAGGCTATATTTAAGGATAGAGGTTAAATAAGATGATTTCTTAAAGTATTGTATATATTTCTTAATTATTATGTAAAAATATATAAATGACTTTAGATTTTGGAGATGTATTTTTGGACGTATTTAAAGGTTAATTAATATTAAAAATTTTCAGAAATATATTTCAGAAATATTTCAGAGGTTAAATCGCGTTAGATCTTTCTTTTTTCTCATTTCTCATTTTACTCAAACTAATCTTTAAACTCTCTCAAATTTTTCTCTGCTCCAACTCAAAACTCAACCATAAAGGCTTAACGGAACTTCAATCATCATCTCTAACATATGAAACATCAATTTCTTGTAAGTTTTTAAATTTTTGATATTTTTTTTTGAATTTTTATGTAAATGAGTTGAAATTAATAATTAAAGTTAGAAATGAGTAGAAATAACATTTAAGATAGTTTAACAATAATTTGGAGCGATTAGTTGGCTGTTCTTTGGTCGATTTGGAAGGAGCATAACAATTTTATTTTCAATTCTAGTTTAGTTAGTGTTAACAATATTAGTGGGGATGTGAAATTCTTCGCTTGAAAATGGGAATGTATTCGGGAGATTCCTTACTCTAACTCTTCTTTTTATGATTTTTGTATGAATTCTTGGTAGGATTGGAATGTTGGTTGAGAATTTCCCTATTGTTTTGTACTAATTTGAATACTTCTAGTATTCCTATGATATTATTGGCTTAAAAAAAACTATCAGAGTTTACTATTTCTTGGTCCTCATCAATTTTTTTGAAATACGTCTAATCATTTTTGTCCAAACTATCTTATGTACCCTCTCACTGTTATCAAAGCTTGTCTAAACCTTATATTCTTAAGACATCTACCAATGCATTTAGACCTAAGTCTCATCATTTCATGACACCAATCACAAAAAATTATTGTTTGATTTTTATATTTATCTTGGTTGAACCGAGTGGAGGAGAAAAAGAGAGAATTTTGGTAAAAGAAAAATATATATATGATATCATCATGCTCATGCTAGGTTAGAACATCTTAGTTTATAGTTAACCATAAATGGTTAATGTTATTTATTATTAGATTCTTAATTCTATTGGGCTTTAGTGTGGTTTGCGCCTAGCTCTTTTTCTCTGTAATGCAGTCTGTAACACCCCACTCTAAACTATCGCGGAAAAATAAGATAAACAATAGAACAATTTAGAGTGCGGCAAATAAAGTCTCATGACGACCGTCATTGATGTCACGACCATCACGGTCATGACGAGCGTCAAGGAGTTGTGACGACCGTTACACTCCCAAATTCTCAGACGCATCAGGGTGTCACATTCTACACTTAACCAAAACACATACACTTGCAAAAGATCATTTACTAACATACGTAGCACAAAATTCGGATGAACAAACAACGATAATTTGTTTAACATTTTAATCATAAAACGACATGTTATAATACACTTCCAACGATTCGTAATAATTAAATTCCATTAAAATTCAGCAAGTAATTATCTTGCATCAATTCACTAAAACAACTATGCATCCAAGCAACATTTGGCATTAACAGAAACAACCAATCTATTTGCCATAGTACTTAATAAAATTCAGCAACAAGGAATTCAATTAAAACAATAACATTAATCGTTCATCCCCCCAGAGTGCTACGTATCAGAGCGACCAACGACCTTAAACATAAAGCAACACTTTCTTCCGAGTGACCTGCAAATTACCACCAAGGGAGGTAACATACAACGTAAAGGGGTGAGATATTAACAATATAACATAATGCATGATAAAAGTCATGTCAGAATATTATCACAACATTATAATTCCTGCAGTTCGCATAAATATTAGTAATAATAAACTACAACAACTCTTTATTCATAACCACAACAATTATCATCATATCTCAGTAACTCATCAAAACAACTCAACAACGCAACTCAACAATGCGACTCAACTGTGCATATGCATGTGGTACCAGATTGCCATTACGACCGCCAATACAGGCCATCAATTTGCCACTAAGG